TTATTCTGTGAGCAACAGTTACTGCAGATATTTTAACAGGGCAGCTTTGAGCTTTAAAACTACACTGGCTGCAGTAGATGGGGTGGAACAGAAGGGAGAAGACAGTATAAGCTACTGCATTAGCTCGGCTCAGTGGTAATAAGGTCTTGAACTAGTCATAGACGTGACTGCTTAAATTCAGCCAAGTCTCTGAAAGAGTCCTAAGACAGTTAGAATCTGGAGATACTTTATATTAAGAGCCCAAAGTTACCGCTAGCATTCAAAGACATAAAAAGGTGTGTGCCTTCAATGGTCTTCCAAAACAAAGACTTCTTTCATTGTACCCACTGTACTAGTCTGGGCCTAGAGCTAGGTGATATATCTAGGTGATATCAATGAGTCATAGGAGAACAAGCTTAAATTTCACAGGATTACTTTCGGAAATGGAAGAACTACTTTGTTGCCATTATCAGTTCAAGTATCCAAGGGAGCTGGGTGGTGTGAGAAAGAAGAAACTCATAAAATAATCCTATCAGCACTATCTCAAAGTGTCTTTTGGATTTTTTCATTAAGGCCAATTTTCCAAATTCCTGTACAATACCGATTTTCCCATCTTAATCTTTAATCTTATAAATAAAAACAAAGCACTTAGAAGCCCAGATTTTTATTATTTTGCCCTCTACTAGGTTTTTACATTTTTTTCCCTAAAATCAACTTCCAAAAATGTTCCTTTTAAAGAAAAAAAATTTAACAAAATTAAACAATGTAGATGTGCATATGTGCTGTCTCCTACTGCAACCAAAAAAAATGGTTAAGAGGCATATTTTCTCATGTCTTGGAGTAAAGCTTGGTCATTATATGCACGCAGCATTCAGTTGCATTTTTTTTCTTTGTTTTTATATTATAGTGTACAGGTTGTTTTTCTGGTTTTGTATACAAGTCCATGTATCGGTGGGGGTAGGGGATAGAATGATCTTTTTTTCTTTGGCTTTGGACAAGAAAGAGACGGCGACCTGAATTTTGATGACCTCAGAATGCTCTTATTGAAAATGAATATTGAGAAATGAATGAAAAAGCATTTATTCTGTACTATGTGCCAAGCACCTGCCAAGCCTAAATTCTGATTTGATGATTGCTGAGATTTTTTTTTTTTTACTTAAAGTCAAATAGTGATATGAAAACCATTGGTAAGGAAAGATCCCTACCAGTTCTAACATTCTGTGTCTAGGATACTGTTGAACACCGGATTTGAGTGAATGGGGATAATTAATACAAAGTACTTTGCAAAACAAAGCACCATGTAAACACCAGTTATAACTAATTTTGAAATTTGGAGGGTGAATAGGAACTAAATTTAGGTAAACTTCAACAGGAAAAAATTAACGCATATTTTAAAATAGGGTTTTACTTTAACAGCAATCCCTCTGCTTCTTTGGTTTAGGCAAGCTTTTGACAGTTTTATGTCCCTTTGGGGAAGTCCTAATTTGGACATTCTAGTCTGGTCATACTCCTTTCAAACACTTTAGGACAGCTAGCATTTCTCCCTTGGATCTGTCCTTTTGGGGAAGGTGAGGAAAAGCATGTTTCTTTTAGCTAAGTAGCATGTTTCCTTGAACCCGTCATCATAAATGGCAACCATCCTAGTTGTCTTCTCTGGACATCCTCCAGTTTATCAATGTCTTTTCTAAAACTTGATATTCATAACTGAAGATGAATACAACACTCCAGATGTTGTCTGTTGCTGATGGCTGTCTTTCGTTCTCAAAAGAGGACCATGACATCATGGAAATAACGCTGCAACATGCAAGAGAATTGGATTTAAGTAAGGGAGGACTGTGCAAAGTCATGAGCCTCACTTTCTCCTCCAGAGCCATCTGGGTCCAGTGGCCAGATACGGATCAAGACGACTGGAAATGGCCCAGGATACTGTGGGGGACCTTGGCCTTTTCAAGCTAAGGTCTTTAACAGGTCTCAATTTGACTAAGGCAGCACCCCTTCTGTGACTAAGGCTTATTAAGATACGAGGCAAAGAATAGCCTCTTAAAAAAAAAATCTGGGAGGTCCCAGTACAGCTCTGGAAAATATGCTTCTTTTAATGTAGCCTGAAATTGTGTCAAATTTCTCAGCTCCCATTTCACACTGCTGACTCACTGAATTTATACTCAACTGAGAAGCATGGGAAGAATTACATGAAGTACAGAATCTCAAAAATAATACATATGAGTACAACAATGTAAGTAGAAAGAATAGCAAAACAGTCAAAACTGAATGCTTTTAAATTATAATGATCAAGCTTAACTCCAAAGAATACAGAAGGCACCTCCCACTGCTCGTTTATAGACTGTAGCTATGGAATACTGCATATAATCAGACTTTTTTGATATTGTTTAGTTTTCCTGAAATGTTTGTTTCTGGGGGCAGCTAGGTGGCGCAGTGGATAGAGCACCAGCCCTGAAGTCAGGAGCACCTGAGTTCAAATCCAGCCTCAGACCAAACACTTGACACTCACCAGCTGTGTGACCCTGGGCAAGTCACTTAACCCCAACTGCCTAAAGTAAAAAAAAAAACTAAATGTTTGTTTCCTTTTTATGCTTTATTATAAGGGATGGCTCTCTAAGAAAAAGTTCAGGGAAGGATAAGTTGAGAAACTTAGTTGAGGTAAAAAAATTTTTTTTTTAAAATCAAGCATCTTCTGTGAAATCTACAGCAATGAAAAGAAAAACATTATCTAGACTGCGGCATGCAGCTAGCAAACTAATATGTAACATGGAATATTTATTGCACATATATAATATATTGGACCCAAAACTGAGATTGAGCTAGAAAGCGTTTGGAAAACCAGTGCTCTCTATTATCCCAAACCACTCACTTCTACAAAAGGTCATCTAAAGTAAATTATTCTCTTGATGATTCTAGACATTCAAAATATCTGACACCAAAATAAAATCACATGAAACCTGAAATTTAAGACATGGGGTAAAAAAATACAGGCTAATATATATTTAACAAGTAAGGTAAGTATACAAAAAATAGCGTAAAAGACAAGCCATTAATGAATGTCTAGAAAATGAGGTGGATGGTCTTGTAGCAAAAATGAGAAACAACAAAACGATACTATACAAGTATCTCCAAGGCATATTGGGGACCAGAGGGTCTCTTGTATCCTGAAATAATTTATAAAAACATGCATAAAAATCATACAAGATGAAAATGTGAAGGACCACAATCTGTTGCTAAAAGTAATCAATGACGAAACATAATGCATTCATTTGCATATCAAATAGCTAGCACTAGCCTTACCAAAAGTTTACCTATCAAAAAGTTGGGAGGAAAATGGTAACCATAACCATAAGCAAGGCTTAATAAACTGTGCTTTGTGATTGTAGTTGAGTATTATTGCACTGTAAGAAATGGTGTCAGGTATTCACGAAAAACAAATTTCTAAGAAGGAAAGTTAGCAAAACTAGAATATGCAAAGAGGGCTACCCACTGAACTTGGGAATTGCCAAAGATCAAAGTTTAAATCCTGCCTTGGACACTCAGTAGCCGTATGGTCCTAAGCAAGCTGCTTAAGCTTCAACCTATTTTTTCATCTTTTTTTTTAATTACTCTTTATTAATTTATTTTGAGTTATCAACAATCACTTCCATATGCTTTTGAGTTTTAAATTTTTCTCCTCCTCCCTCAAGATGGCACCCAATCTGATACAGGTTATACATATACATTCCTGTTAAACATATTTTCACATCAGCCATGTCGTAAGGAAGAATTAGAACCAATAGGAGGAACCACTAGAAAGAAGAAATAAAACAGAAGAAAAAAACCAAGCAAATAGTAATGCTTCGATCTGCATGTTTCTTCATCTTTCAAGTGAGATATTTACAAAACACTCTGCAAACCTTAAAAGGGCTAGCTGAACTAGCAAAATGAAGGAGCTAGAAGAGACTGGATAAAGAGCTGGAGTCAGGAAGACCCCAGTTCAAGTATGACCTCAGCCTGCATAGGCAGTATTCTTGTTAAATTTTCATCTGACACAAAACTGGGACAGCTAACAACACTCTGAATGGCAAGAGGGGCTGTCAAAAAGATTTGATAGGTTATAACACTGGGCTGAATCGAATAAGATTAAATTCAAGAAGGATGTATGTAAAGTGTTAGAAAGTTGGTTTCAAAATAACAGCTTCCCAAGCACAAAATGGAGATGGTAGCAGTTTAAAAATAAAAAAAAAGTTTAGGGGACTGCAAATCCAATATGAAAAGTGTGACATGGAAGCCAAATAACCTGTGACCTTGAGCTGGAATAAGAGGACCTACTATGCCCTAGGTTAGGCACATCTGGAATACTGTGTTCAATTATGGGAATCACATTTTCGGAGGCTCATTGAAAACCACCAGGAATGGTGACGGATATCAATTCTTTTTTTTTGGGGGGGCGGTAGGCAGGCAATTGGGTTAAGTGATTTGCCCAAGGTCACACAGCTAGTGTTATGTGCCTGAGGCCAAATTTGAACTCGGTTCCTCCTGAATCCAGGGCTGGTGCTCTAACCGCTGTGCCACCTAGCTGCCCCTGAGGGATCTTAATTCTACATCACATGAAGACAAGCTGCAGCACTGGTAATGTGTAGCTCAGTAAGTTATGTTCGAAGAAAACATAGGTTCAAATACTTAAAAGGCTTTCATGTTGAAGAGGCAGCAAGAATTGCTTTGTGTGGCCCCAGACAGCTGAACTGGGAGTAATGGGTGGATGTTACTAAGAGGCCAGTATTTATACTAGCTACAGTATTCAACTATAGCCTCTTAATTATTATTCCATGTCAAAATGTCAACTTTTTTGTAAATTATCACTTTAACTATAATGGCTCTAAAACAACTACCTAATAAAAACGTTGCTTTTACTAGGAATTGTAAGGGATCCTGATTTCTCCATGTTTATACTACAAAGGCCTTCTTGCACATCAGATTATCTAGTAAACGCTGATTACAATTATAATGAAATAATTTTCGAGGACTACAAACAAGACTTACACTGAGGCAATACACTTTTTAATAAAGTTTATTTCAACATAACTATGCTTAGGGAAATACACTCATATGGGTTAATATAATGCAATTTAGTTTAACTTTACACTACAATTTGGACCAAAGACTTATACATGGTTTAGGTTTTTTAAAAAAACAACAGGATTTGCAATCTGGTTTATTTTTCATCTATTACAAATGTATAAAAGATCCTCAAGTGCTGCTACAGCAGGCAGCAAGAACCATGAGAAATTTACCTTTGGCTTACTTCAGAAAATAATACATTTATTGCACTGTAAAAGCTTCAAACATGGTGCAACAAAACATTATAGAAATGTTTCAGTGCCAGCTTACAAAAATTCAATAACTAGTGTAGTCTTACAAAAACAAAGCATATGTACATGTGAAACAACTGCATTAGCTATCTGGATTCAGTTAATATTGCTTGTGGATTGTGGATCTACACAAACCAATATTCAAGGAATTCCTTGAATTTGAGTAACACTATAAACTCAGTCATTCTGCTGAGGTCAGCAAGGTGACAACACATTGGCTGTCAGTTTTCACCATTTTGCAATTTGTATAAAAAAGAAAAATTTCAGCCTTTGAGCCTCAGTCCAGAATGGAGAACTACACTAACAAGTTTCAAATTCCTCATTCAAAACACACAGGACAATATGCTATGGGGGTTGCTTCTGTTTAAGGTCATGAACCTCCAAATGTCAATCAATACATCCTTCCCTCCCCCAACACAGTTCAAACTGAGAAGTGGCTCCAGAAACGGACCAAGCATGAAAGACAAGAGCAGACTGATATCTACAAGAGGCATCATCAACAAGCCTCTAGAAAAAAGAAGCACCTATGACTGGAAACCAAAAGGAAAGAGAAATAAGAAATAAAATGAAAATACTGAAAAAAGAAACTATGTGGTACACATAAGTTTAAAGGGCAAAGGAAATACATATCTTAGAAGACCAACAGTATAAGTTAATTAGGTTCACACACTATAGTATTTTGGTAGCTTGTTACCAATAATACAGAAGCATCAACTTACACATATGAATATAATGTTATTTCTTATTACTTTCTCTTAATATATTGCCAAAAACTCTAGCTTCAGTTCTATCCAAGTAAAAAACTGAAAGATGAGACATTTTCATGCAAATACTAAATATTCCAAATAAAATTTCTATTTATTGAAAATTTGTATTTGGAATTACTGATTTATTTTAAATCAATAAGCAAAAATACATAGCAATAAAGGACAGTACCTAATATAGGCCTGACTGTCACAAAGTCCTGGCTTGCTGGGAGAAAGGCCTTAACTTCCACTTACTACCCAGTAAAACAAAAAGTTATCTTGCAGCAACATAGGTCTTGATCAATTTAATGATCCAGTTGTTAATTTGTTACATTTAACTCTTAAGTTTTTTAGACTAGTCTTAAAACTGGATTAGAATATTACTAAAGCTCTTCAACATCTATAATGGCAAATTTTCTTGCTTAAGAGATCTGAAGGGACCTAATAAAACCTTTCCAGAACTGAAGCTTCTCTAAGTCTCTGCTAAACACTTACCAAAAGATGGCATTTTTAATTTTCATATACTATAAAAGGAAATCCAATAAAATGTACCCATGAATATTAAAACTAGGTGTTTTTTAAAGGAAGACATAACTAGTTTCATTATTAAAAAAAAAATTTAAACATAAATATAGTTGCATCTTGATCTTATGTTGACAATGATTGTCAGAGCCTAGTATTCAACACCATTTAATCATACTCATTCATGCACACTGAACACATGCTACATCACACAACTTACTCCTGTCACGAGATTTTTCTGCTTCCTTAAATCTTTGGCCTCCCAATACCAATCATTTAACCTAAAACTCATATTCAGACCACTGCCAAAAGAAGCATTCCCCCTGTCCCCATGTCCATATCCCCCCACCCCCCACCCCTTACCTCAGTTTCCCCATTCATTGAAGTTGTACTGCTGCACATTTGGGAACATGCCTGAAATATGACCAGAACTCATTTTCTATGATCAGGTCCCATGTTTAAATGTTAAAGTGACTTTACAGAAACGCAAGATTAGGATTTCTCAGGTTTTTTTCCCTCCACTGTGCTCAAATCCAATATACTTGCTAGGAAAACTTTTCAGACCAAAAAAAAAAAAAAGAAAAAACCTTTTAAGTCAGATTTTTATTCGTAGTCTTCAGGAGTTGGCCAAAGAACCTATGAAAAAAGAACCACTAAGAAAAAGACACTGTCCCAAAAAGAGATGTCCCTTCTAGTGCCAACTGCCCATTTTGAATCTGAGAGGCTGGCTTTTGTTTTGTTTTGTTTCCAAATAGCCTCAAGCCACTGAAAGGGCAAGCTGGGGCACACACAGTGCAGGAGCTAGCAAAATGTGTCCTGAGAATATATTGGGTTTTTTTTTAATCTGGATGGCACCAAAGTTAAACTTAACTGTACTGGATGCCCTGTTCACTTTCTTCACAAGGAGCTGGGGTTGATCTACAAATATCTGTAAATGCCTTTTCTCACCCCAACTGAAACCTTGGAGGATTCCAAGGCCCTGTATAACTTGAATGAAAAAGGAAGAAGAGGCAATTCCCCTCCCTTCTTTTCCAATCCCAGGTTTGCTACTTACCAGCATATTATACTTATTTATTTGGATTGGTGGCTATTACATGAAAAGTTCAATTTATACTCTGCAGTTTGGGAAGTAGCCGCACCAAAACGGACTTGGGGGGAAAAAAAAGCCTACTGATGTTTGCTATGTGAGATTTTACTCACAAATTCATCATACATAGATATATTATACAGCCAAATTGCATAATGATTGTGAAATCAAAACCAAGGAGGGCCAATTTACTATAGCCACTTAAAAATAAATTAACATGAAACAGATTCTAATACGCATCAGATGTGAAAATCAAAATATAAAGGATTGAATCTGCATTTGTTTCATCTGCTCACAAACTATACATTAGCACATATACACACAAATAATTCTTAATTTTAGCAAACTAAAATGACTCCCCATGAAAAAAGACAACAAACTGCAGCAAAGGAAATGAACAGAAAAACACCTGTTCTGTGGTAAGCAACAAAACCTGAAAGGTTTTTTTAAATGAACCAAAATAAACATGCATATATATACACAAATGTATATACACACACACATATATAAAGTGTTCCTGTACAGCAAAAAAAAAAAGCTATTTCTAAAAGATTATTACACTGCATAGGTAAAAAAAAGAGGAAAAAAATCAAAAACACAATGTGCAACATTTTAAGCCATTAAAGCACCACCAAAAATAAAAAATAACACTCCCCTTTACTTCCCACAATTAAAAAAACCACTGTTATAATATTTATGAAAATTGACATATACAAATCGGAAATTTTAATCAAAAATCAGAAAAGACTAATAAATGTGGACGAAATTCACTGTCCATTATAGGGAGAAACAAAAAACATTTTAAAAAGTATGACTGTTCATTTCTTTAACCACACTGTGGCTTTTTTTTTGTTAAAAGTGCTAATTTTCTGAGACATCAGATTCCTCAAAGAAAACCATTGAGTAATTTGCTACCAATATGCTGATTTATGCCTAACTAAACAAGGAACCATAAACCTATTTTAGATAAAACTAGAGACTAGAAATGGGGAAAACACTGACTACTACTAACTGTATGATTCAACACAACATCTTGGTTTTCAAAATCTCATTTTAAAAATAATTTATGCAAAGGCTAATAGTCTTTCACTAGTGCTAGTTTAACAGAAAAGAGAAATCCAATTCCTTGGATTCACTAGTGTACGCAAGAGATTAACAAACTATTATACAACAGTGGTGAAGAAAAGGTATCTACCTGAAATCATCAGACACTACTCCAAACTTAAACAAAAGGGAATTGTCTACTATAATAATTATTCATAAAATGTAGTAGATCTCATAAAAGAATTGTAGGCTTGTTCATATATAGAGTTTAGTTATTCTAACTCCTTAGTTGCTTCCTCAAGGTAGTAGACATTCACTAAATGTCGATTAAGGTGTTTGCTATATTCTCCTTCCTTTCTGAAAGATCTATCACAGAAAATGCAAACAAAGTTTGCTGCTTCAACTGCTGCTGCTACTTCTTCCTGGGAAGCTTTTCTACCTGTTTCTTCCTGTACAGATCGAGCACCATTCAACCCAGAGTCATCACTGCCCTCTGACATGTTGTCACTTAGGTCGCTCCCATCATGACTGTGGATGCCCTCATCTTCATCAATTTCCTGAGACTCATTTGCAGCAGTAGGAGCTGATGAGGACACTGGCACCGTTTGGGAAGCTGGCTCACACTGCTCTGCTGGTGGTGAAGGAGCAGGCAACTCAGGTTCTGGCAACAGTGGGGATTCTGGCAGGGGCAGCTCTGGCAGTGAAGGGAGCTCTTCAGCTGTCAAGTCTTTATCAGCCAGATGCTCTGCTGGGGTTGGACTCGGTTCAGTTTCCATTTCACACACTATGTCAGTCTGATGCTCTTTATCAGGAAGATCTTCCTCTGGCTCACAAGATGATGGACTAAGGGACTCCTGGGCACAACCAGACATCGGCTCTTCATCCACAGCTTTTTGAAGAGCAGTTTCTTTGTCTTCTTCCTTCTGCTCAAGGTGCATTTCTTGGTCTTCCATTTCTACATTATCTACATTTTCACCTGGTGAAGTAGGTGCAGGCACAGATACAGATACAGGTGCTGGTATCGGCACAGGCGCTGGTGCTGGTGCTAATGCTGGCTCTGACGCAGGCCCTGGTGTCGAATGGGAGTCCTGAGTGTTTGGCCTTTCTTCAGTTATTGGGCTGTTAACAGGCACTAAGGCATCTTCCACAAGGACTGCCTCTTTCTGCTGCTCTTCCCTAGGGCTGTCAGACTTTTCCTTTGAATCCTCTGGAGGAGGAGGAGGGGGAGGAAGAGAAACAGGAGGAGGGGGAGAAGGAGAAGGAGGTTTTTCAGGGATCAGCTCATTTTGAGTTGGCTTTACCTGAATGGACTTGGGCTTTTTACCATGTTTACCTTTCAAAGTTTTCTTTTTTTTGTTTTTCTTCAGGCAAGCTTTTTGTCTTTTATGCTCTTCCACTCTGACTTCATCTTTTCCAGCTTCCTGGCTCTTTCTAGATCTGCTTTCGACTTTCTTCTTCTTTTTCACCACAGGTTCTGTATCATTCACCAGGTTACTATTTAAAGAAGCTGCTTCGCTTTCCATTTTTCTTTTAACTTTCTTGCTTTTGCATGATTTTTCTGAACCTTTCCCCACTTTGACATCTACCTCCTTTGACTCTGTTGCCAACTTACGATTTCGGGTGGTCACTTGGCCTAAGGAAACCACAGTGCATGGCTTTTTCTCTTTTGAGGCATTTTCTTTTTCTTTTTTCTCCACTTTTACATTCTTTTCATTCATCTTTTCCACCACATCTCCCTTTGTTTTTGTTTGTTCTTTTTCAGTTTTTTCACTGGCCACACTATCAGAACCACAATTGTCTGCCTCACTCTTTTTGGATTTTTTTAGTTTCACTTTGGAAACATCCATTGCAATATCACAACAGTCGGAATGCCTGGACTTGATATGATACTGCAGATTACACTTCTTGGAAGCAGCATAATCACATACAGGACAAAGGAACTGTCGTGGGTTCACATGGAGCTCTACATGCTTTTTGAAGTTACTACGATCAGCTGTTTTATAGTCACAGTGTGGGCAGGTCAGCGGCTTCGGCCCATTGTGAACCTGCCTAGCATGTCGGGTTACTTCATGCTGATTAGAGGCCACATAACTGCACTGATCACATTTAAATGGTTTCTCACCTGTAGATAAGATAAGAAAAGTGGGAAGAAAATAAATTTTAAGTAAAATGAATTCAAAACTAATTCGAACAAATGTAGAGGGATGGATGCGAACAGTGTACCCAAGTTTAAGCAAATATGCACAACGTAAAAAATTGATCCATGCATCTTTTAGTTGCCATATTTACTAGTATGGTTTCTCCTCTTCCCCGCCAGTTTTTTGACTGCAAAAGCAGGAACTATTATCCATTTGTGCTACCATTCTTAGCAACTTTAATTTGAGAATCTTATCAAACTTTAAAATGAGCCCTCCTAAGAGTTGCATAGTAACACATTCAGCAGGAGGTCTTTTCTGGCACCCCTAGCTTTGACTGCTTTATCCTCTGAAACTACTTTCCATCCACTCTATATCTATCTTGTATGTACCTAGTTATTTATGTTCATGTTTGTCTCCCCCATCAGCATGTGAGTTCCTTGAGGTCAGAAACTATTTTTACCTTTTCCGTATCCCCACCAATGAGCATAAAACCACCAGGACTTGGAGGGTGATGGATAGGGGGAAAAGAGAAAGAAGGAAAGGGCTAAGTAGCTACTCACTCTCTCCATTTCCCAGCCAATGGCAAACAACCTTTAAGTTCCTTTAACTTAATCCACTGTCTATATTGGCACAAACCCTGTTATCATTCATCACAGTGAGAGTTCAACAACCTGTTCACCTCTCTCAGAATCATAAATCTGTCTTATCAAGAAGGGACCTTAGAAACTGATTTCAGCTCTTTCATTTTAAAGAAGGAGAAATTGGGGGACTCTGATTTAAGTCAATCATCTAAAATTTTCAACCATATCAACACTCAACACTTAAAAAGTAGATGATACAATCTCTTATTTCCCTGAAATTAAGGCCATCCCACAGACAATTCCCTCAAATTTCTCTTTTCAAGCCTCAAAAGTTTTCCACATCAACTGTTTTCATTTCCTCCCTTCTACTTACAAGAGTCACTAAGTTTAATCTCTGTTTTCAAACTCATCCCCAGGACATTTTCCTATTTGTCTCCCATACTCTAATTACTCCTTTTCTGTTTTTTCCTTCTCTTCTCTCTCTACACTCTCTACCTCAGTAATCGTATTCATTTCACTGGCTTTAACCCTTCCACAAAGAAGTTTTGGCACAAGCTCTCATTACTGTATACCTGGTCTATTGCAGCAGCCTCCTAATAGTTTTTACCTCTAGTTTCTCCCTGTTTCAATTAATTCTTCAAACCAAAACCATTCTAATCTTCATAATCTTCTAGTCAAACCACTCCTGTTCAGTCATCAACAATGGCTCCCTAATATCTACTGAGCAAGTCACATTTCTCTGCCTGGCGTTCAACAATCCTTTTAAAATGCTGAACTATCAGGGGCAGCTAGGTGGCACGGTGTATAGAGAGCACCGGCCCTGAAGTCAGGAGGACCTCAGTTCAAATCCGGCCTCAGACCAAACACTTGATACTAGCTGTGTGACCCTGGCAAGTCACTTAACCCCAATTGCCTAAAAAAAGGAAAATTTTAAAAAACGCTGAACTATCCTACCTCTCTATCCTAAGGTCACATGCCTAGAAATATCCTCTTCCCTATCAAACCTGCTAGGGGACTAAGGTAGTACAGTGGATAGAATGGCAGGCTTAGAGTCAGAAGGACTCATCTTCCTGAGTTCAAATCTTACCTGAGACACTTACTAGCTGTGTGACCCTGGGCAAGTTACTTAACCTTGTTTGCCCCAGTTTCTTCACCTGTAAAGTGAGCTGGAGAAGGAATTAACAAACCACTCCAACATCCTTAGCAAGAAAACTCTAAATGAGTTCATGAAGAGTTGAATATGACTGAAAAACTTCTGAACAACATCAAACCTACTAAATTTCTACCCATCCTTTAAACTCCAACTCAAATAGCACCTTTCTGAAACCCTTCTTAAATATTTTATCCCACTCTCAAATATGATCATATCCTTTTACTCTTTGAACTTGCAAAACATTTTGCTTTCCATTTTGTAATGAACTCAATGTGCAATACTGTATATTTTAACCATGTTTTACTCCCCTGCTAGATAGCCCCCAAAGGAGGCAAGATGATAGAGAAGAGCACTGGTTCTGGAGTCAACAGTCCTGTTTCTTCCTTCCTCCGATGTTCATTACCTATGTGACTTCAGTTTCACTTTTGGTAAGATGGGTGATTTGAATTAGTTGTAGACAATCACTGAAGTTCCATAAAGCTCTAAATCTATGAAGCTATGACAGGGATATCAAAATTTTCTAATCTCTCTCAACACCATATTCACCATATACAAGAGGTATATTTATTCAATATTTATTGAACGGAACTGAATCCTATTTAAAAGGATTCTCTTCTGGCAGGTTCATCAAAATTTTAAATAGAAGATGGGAGGGTACTTTGAAAGTAAGGCAGTATTTTCAGGGGAAAACACAAGTAAATACGGCAAATAAAAGAATAAGCTAGGAAAAAAATACAATCACAAATACATTGAAAAACAGTACCAAAAAAAAATTAAAAAGAGCAATAGAGTAACACACATTCTATCAGAGTACATACCCATCTAGATCACTCTATAGTAATATTACCAAATGGTATCCATACCCAACTGGTCCTTTGGAATGCATTGTAGAAAAATGGAAATTAACAATTGATCAAACAGAATATTCATACAGTCTCAAAAAAAATCAACGTTGTTCAAAACTCTAAAAGAATTTAAAATCTACAATTAAAGCTAAAAATGGAAGCCTCAAAACTATTTAAGACATTAAACTTGCTTACATTAAGACAAAATTCCATATGAGTAATGGTAAAATAATTATCAAAATACTGACTCTAACAAATTCAAGTCAAGTAATAAAAATGAATAAATAAAGCACATACATCCATAATGCTAAAAGCTACTTTAAGATATTCCCAAAACACGTTATATGGTTCGATGTTGAATACACAAAACCCTCATGAAGGCATAAAAAGCAGTTATTTCCATAGCTAAGGAATCTGAACATATCTTATACAGTCAATGAAGAAGACTGACATAATAGTTTCAAACCTTGAAAGAGATGCATGTAGAAATAATATACAATATTAGTAATTAATAATACCCTTTCAAAAGCCAATAAACTCTGTGTAAGCATATTTTGTCATAATCAATAATGGATGCCTATTGAAAATACACAGAAATGGTTTTAAGTACTTTCTCAAGCCATTACCAAAGGGTCACGTCTACGCTTAATCCTAATATGAAAAGTATGAGTTTCCAAAATACCAGTATGTACGTGAAAGAATTTGAGGAAAAATATAGTTAAAAAATATATACAACTTTTTGAGTAAGCATTAGTTAAAATATTTTCAAAATAATCAGATAGGACATAGTAACCACTAATTCAACGAGGTCAAGATCTAGGCCTATCTAAATCCTAGCCTAATCACTGATTTTATTCCATTGATTATAATTTTATTCAAAAGTTATATGAATATCACACTATACAAAATTGCTTCAAAACTATTTATATTTAAAATAAATGAAATTCAGGGGCAGCTAGGTTGTACAGTGGATAGAGCACTGGCCCTGGATTCAGGAAGACCTGAGTTCAAATCCAGCCTCAGACATAAAAACACTTACCAGCTGTGTGACCCTGGACAAGTCACTTAACCCCACTGCCTAGCCCCCCCCAAAAAATAATGAAATTCAAACCATAAAATGTCATAACTTTTATGTCATTCCATCTAAGTGTCTATAGGGATTTGTTGTTTCTTCCCATTCCCTTTTCTGTTTTTTCCTTTACCTAAAGATCTTTCCATATTTCTTTATCAACCTCATATTTCTTAATACTAACAGATGTTCATCTAGTTCCCCCTTGATTGGGCAATAAGATTTCTTCCCATGTTTTTTGTAATTACAAATAATCCTATGAACATCTTTGGGCAGCTAGATGACACAGTGGGATAAAGCGCTAGGTCTGGAGTCAGGAAAACTCATTTGTGACCCTGGTCAAGTCATTCAACCATATCTGACTCAGTTCCTCATCTGTAAAATGAGCTGGAGAAGGAAATGGCAAACCAGTCTGGTATCTCTGCCAAGAAAACCCCAAACTGGGCCATGAAGACATAACTGAATAAATGAAAATCTTTAAACAGATACCTTTTTTTGTTGTTGTAGTTTCTACTAACACTTTCAGGAAACATTCCCAACAATTGAATTGTTGAATCATGAAATATATCTATCTTTGTAACTTTTTTTTACTGTATATTTAAGTATATTCAAGTAAGTCTACAATTCTACTAGCAATGGTGGCAATCTATTTCTCTATATCCCCACAATAAATAAGTTTGGCAACTTTTAAATTTATTCCGCCAATTTGACAGGTCTGAGAACGTGATTATATCTTTTTCCCAAGGATTACTGACAAAATTTTTGTTTCTTCTTTTGATCACTGTTCATCTTTTCACTCTCCCCGCCCCCCCCCCGGCCAATGAAGTCAATAGTTAAGGCAGGAAAATTTCCAAGAGAAAAAGGTAGTGTCCAGAAACTACAGACAAGTTTGACAGCGGGCAAAACTCAAAAATGGATTATCAAATTATTTGTAAACCTTTTAATGACTAACTCAAAATGGTTTCACTCAGAGAAAATTTCATAGCAAAGTAACCTCATTTGTTTTTTAAAACAAGGTTACCAGGATAACCTAAGAGGGTAACTTCCACTTATATAAAGTCTTACCGCTGATGACTCATCACTAGGTATTCCTGAAGACTATATTTACAGAAAAAGACAATATCTCTGTTATGTGAAGTCTAGTTGAGCTAGGTACAGAAAGACTGATCACTATGTTAGTTACAAGCCAATGAATTTCTTTGTTGCAGCAACGCATAAAACCTATCTACTCCTTCTTTAGAGAGGTTCTAACACCAGTCAGTGACAGGAGATGAACTAAATCATGGAACCTTTAAGGATTGTGAAATGCCTGGCCAGTAGAAATGATGAGACTGTT